TGCAAAAAAAAAAAAAAAGTTCTCAGGTGAGGATAAAAAACAAAACAAAACCAAAAAAACAGTGGGGTTAACCTCTGCGTTTACTAATGCCGATATGGTTAAAATATATAATGTTTCATCTTGACTTGGAATAGTATGCAGCTGATAAAAAGAGAATGGGCTACATATGTGGGTTTTGATATATAAGGCTGCCCACACATCATCGAGTGAAAAGAAACACCCTGAAAAAAAATAGTATGATATACTATTATATATGTATATATTATATGTATTATTATTACATAATAGTATGATATACTAATAGAATAGTATGACTCCTCTTTCTTTCTTTCTTTCTTTCTTTCTTTCTTTCTTTCTTTGGACATGCCCTTAGCGGGAACCGAACCCGGGACTGTCTGGTCTGCAGGACTATGTTCCAACCACTGAGCCAAACTGGCCAGGGCTGACTCCACTTTCTAAACAAATAACAGATATAATAGAACTTTATATGTGGAGATTTATATGCATTAAATATCTGGAAGGACTTTTCACATACGAACCAGGGAAGGGGAATGCAGTGGAGGAGGAAAAGGGGTGAGATTTTACATACATTCTATACAGCTCAAATTCATCTACTTTTCTCCATCCTCATTGTCACTGTCCCATCTAAGTCACCGTGATCTTTGGTGTTGAAAACACAGTGATTTCCTTATTGATTTGCCTTTCAAGTCGTCTCTGTCACCATTGGGAAGGTGGGGACTCAGGGGATGGTCTGTGGAAATGTGGGCCTCAAGAGTACACTAGGAGCCCTGGCCGGTTTGGCTCAGCGGTTAGAGCGTCGGCCTGCGGTCCGGAGAGACCCGGGTTCGGTTCCCGCTAAGGGCACGTACCTCGGTTGCAGTTTGTCCCCGGCCCTGGTTGGGTCATGTGGGTGGCGGCCACTCAATGTGTCCCTTTCACGTCGATGTTTCTCTCTCTCTCTCTCTCTCTCTCTCCCTCCCACTCTATCTGAACAAAATATCGAAAAATGCCCTCGGGTGAGGATTAAAAAAAAAGAGTACACTATGGTAGCGGGTAGCCAGGGGTCAGGTGGCCACTGGAAGCCTGTGATACTTACTGCCCGTCAACTGAAAAAACTGTCTTTCAGAAAAGTAGGCAGAGCATAAACCCATCTTTAAAATACAAATTTTAATCCTGCCAGTGTGGCTCAGTGGTTGAGCGACCACCCGTGCACCAAGAGATCGCCAGTCGGGTTCCCGGTCAGGGCACATGGCCCGGTTGTGGCCCGATCCCCAGTGGGGACCATGCAGGAGGCGGCCAATCGATGTTCTCTCTCATCGATGTTTCTATCTCTCTCTCTCCCTCTCCCTTCCTCTCTCTCTATAATCAATAAAGGAAAAAATAAAATACAAATTTTAAAGTTAAAACCATACTCTACAACTTTACAAGTGAATAGATGTGTGTGTGTGTGTGTGTGTGTGTGTGTGTGAGAGAGAGAGAGAGAAAGCATTTGGAAGTCACAGGTGACACCATATCTCATTACCCACAAAGCAGGTAGGAACAGCTCCAGCATGGCGCCCTAGTGGCCCTAGTGGCCCTAGTGACCTCCCACACATGCACACAGGCCGAGAAGGAAAGGCTCGAACTGCTGCTGAGCTGAGTCTTGGCAGAACCCGCGAAGACGGAGGCCTGTGAGGAATTACTCTGAGGACACCTTCCCGTCACCTCTTGCATTAGTTTACTCCAGCTGCCACAACAAAGTACCACAGACTGGTGGCTGACACAGCAGGAATTGAATTTGTCACAGTTCTGAAGGCCGGAAGTCTAAGTTCGAGGTGTCAGCAAGGTCGGTTCCTTCTGGGGGCAGAGAGAAAGATGTGCTCCAGGCTTCTCTCTTTGGCTTGTCGATGGCTGGCATCTCCTGTGTCTTCGCATCGTCTTCCCTGTGTGTGTGTGTGTGTGTGTGTGTGTGTGTGTGTGTGTGTCCTAATTGCCTCTTCTCATAAAGACACCAGACTGGATTAGGGCCCACCCACATGATCTTATTTCAATCACCTTTTTTGTTGTTTTGTTAATCCTCACCCAAGGATATTTTTCCATTGATTTTTAGAGAGAGTGGAAGAGAAGGAGGAAGAGAGAGAGAGAAACATCGATGTGTGTGAGAGAGAGACACACATGGATTGGTTGCCTCCCGCATAAACCCAACCAGAACTGGGGAATCAAACCTGCAACCCAGGTAAGTATCCTTGACTGGAATCAAATCCACGACCCTTTGGTCTTTGGGCCGACGCTCTAACCCCTGACCCACACCGGCCAGGGCTTAATCACCTCTTTACAGTCCTTGTCTTAGTAGACAAATGCTCCTTGACTCATAATGGGGTTACACCTGATAAACGCATCATAACTTGAAAATGCATGTAATACACCCAACCTACCAACCATCATACCTTAGCCTAGCGCCCCTTAAACGTGCTGGAAGACTTACAGTACCTGCAGCGGGGCAAAATCACGCCAGCGCCTTTTCCAGCACCACGAGAAGCATCACAGCACGTGTCACCAGCCGGGGAAATGATCAGAATCCAGAATTCGAAGTGCGGTCTCTACCGAATGGGTATCGCTTCCACACCATCGTCAAGTTGAAAAATCTGAAGTCGAACCCTCATGAAGTCGGGGACTGTCTGTCTACACAGTCACATTCTGCGGTACTGGGGGTTAGGACCTCAACAGTGTGAATCTGGTTGCGGGGGGAGTGACATAATTCAGCCCATAACACTCCTCCGAGTCCCCTAAGAGGCTTTCAGGAGATGGCTTCTCATCAGCTGCGGGGTTCTCAGGGGGTATGGGACTTGCGTACGGTCCCCCTCAGGCTACAGCCGCAGACCACAAACTGCCTGGTTTGATGCTGCCAATGAAGAATTGGCTCGTTTGGCCTCATTTGTTTCAGTGTCATCCTCTTTAGTGTGGGACGGGGACCCAGGGAGCTGGCACCTTTGGCTACTCTTCTTTCACTGTTTATGGAAGTAATAAACTGTCCAAATCTAAAAGTGGCTCATTGCATCTTTATCAGCCAAACAAGCCAGGCCCTGGCCTTGGCTTTCCTGGAAAGTTTCGTGAGTGCTTCACAACGGACACTGGGATGTCTGCAAAAACAAAAGCAAAGATCTTGCTAACAGAGGTGGGAGAAAGGGAGACACGCAGGGGCTCCCCATTCTGTGTTCCTTCCTCCCCCTCGTCTAGCACCCAGTGCTCTTATGCTGGGATTACCCAGGCCTCTCCACCCAGCTCTGGGGTCCCCTGCATTTGAATTTACTTGCCATTAAAAATAAATAGATTAGTCCTGGCCGGTTTGGCTCAGCGGTTAGAGCGTCGGCCTGCAGTCCAGAGAGACCCGGGTTCGGTTCCCCCTGAGGGCACGTACCTCGGTTGCAGTTTGTCCCCGGCCCTGGTTGGGTTGTGTGGGTGGCAGCCACTCGATGTGTCCTTTTCACGTCGATGTTTCTCTCTCTCTCTCTCTCTCTCTCTCCCCCTCCTACTCTATCTGAACAAAAGTGGAAAAGTGTCCTCGGGTGAGGATAAAAAAAATAATAATAAAAATGAATTAGCAAAAGAGAAAACACAGCCATAGTATACAGGCATATCTGTGTGCATTTACATATTTACAAGAACCTTTTACATATGAACTGATAACACTGATCATCCTTGGGGAAGGAAGATGTGTGGGGAAGGGACTTTAACATTTTATCCGTATTTTATACAACAGGCCCCAGGGGACATGGGTGAGCTGCTGGAGGTGGGCAGGCTGGCCACTAAGGGGCAAAGTTGGGTCCACTCACAATTAACACTCTATACAGGAATCCTTACTCACAAATCCTTCCCCAACAAATAAAAGTTTAGCTAAAGAAATCACAACCACAGCCCTGGCCAGTTTGGCTCAGCGGTTAGAGCGTTGGCCTGCGGTCCAGAGAGACCTGGGTTCGGTTCCCGCTAAGGGCACGTACCTCAGTTGCAATTTGTCCCCGGCCCTGGTTGGGTCTTGCGGGTGGCAGCCACTCAATGTGTCCCTTTCACGTCAATGTTTCTCTCTCTCTCTCTCCCTCCCACTCTATCTGAACAAAAAATGGAAAAATGTCCTCAGGTGAGGATTAAAAGAAAAAAGAAAGAAAAAGAAATCACAACCACAGTCTGACCGGTGTGGCTCAGTGGTTGAGCGTTGACCCATGCACCAAGAGGTCGCTGGTTCAATTCCCGGTCAGGGCACATGCCCAGGTTGTGGGCCCGATCCCCAGTGGGGGGCATGCAGGAGGCGGCCAATCCATGTTCTCTCTCACCAATGTTTCTTTCTTTCTTTTTTTTTTTAAAGGGTTGCCTGATTTATTTTATTTATTTATTTATTTATTTATTTATTTATTTATTTATTTATTTCTGGTACGCGCCCCTTAGCGGGAACCGAACCCAGGACTCTCTGGTCCGCAGGCCGACGCTCCAACTACTGAGCCGAACCGGCCAGGGCTCATCGATGCTTCTCTCTCTCTCTCCCTCTCTCTGTAAAATCAGTAAAAGGAAAAACATTTTAAAATAAGTCACAACCACAATGAGAGACCCCTTCCCACCCACCAGGATGGCTGCTATCAGAAAACAGCAAGTGTTGGTGAGGGTGTGGAGCAACTGGAACTCTTGTGTACTGCGGGCGGGGGTGTGAACTGGCGTAGCCACTGCGGGAAACAATAAGCCAGACACAAAAGGACAAACATCATGTGATATTACTTTTATGAGGTCCCTAGAGTAGTTGAATTCATAGAGACAGAAAGAATAGTAGTTAGAGGGGTGGGGGCGGGGGGAAGCTGGTGTTTGAGGGGTACAGAGTTTCAGTTGGGGAAGGTGAAAAAGTTCTGGAGATGGACGGCGGTGATGGTCACACAACAACGTGGATGTACTTAATGCCTCTGCACTGTACACTTAAAAATGGTTAAGACAGTGAATTTTATGTTATGTGTATTTCACCACAATAAAAAAAATAATTAGTGCTCACTTCAGCAGCACGTAGACTAAAATTGGAACAATACAGAGAAGATTAGCATGGCCCCGGCGCAAAGGTGACATACAAATTCCAGTGTTCCACATTTCTTTTTTAATGCAGAATAATATGAAGACTAGAATAAAAATGTCCTGGTAACCTAGCACTATTTGAACACACACACACACACACACACAGTATAAAAATGTTCTCTTCTAAAGTAAACTTGATACTCTACACACACAAAAAGTTTGGCTAAAGATTTGAGAGGCTTTGCTGTCTAGAGACAGGATTTAATAAAGACATCAATTCCCTCGCCGTGGTTGCTCACTTGTTGGGAGTAGGAAGGAGCTGACCCACCTGGGACTTCATTGCCAGAGAAACTCCCCATGTGAGGACAGCCTCCAGCCAGAGAGGTGAGCACGGTGTATCCCTTTTCCCTCTTCTCTGTCTACAGCCTGGTGAGAGGACACAGGGTGAGAAGCAGAGACACGCAGAGCCTTCCTCCAATCCCCTCTCTGTCCTCTGTCTCACCGGCTCCGGTCCCATCACACTTCCTCTCTCAAACCGTCCACAAACTCTTCCTGCCTCGTAACTGCTACAGCAGTTATTCGTTCCATATGTGTCTTTCGGCATGTTTAATATTATTAGCTGACTTTGCATGGCGTGTGTCTTCTCTCCCCAACTAGATTAGAAGTTTCTCAAAGGTAGACTGGTTTTTTTTGCCCCTTGTGGATCTCCTTAGCTCTCACCCCAATGTCTAGTATATAATAAGAGGTATATACATCCAGACATCATTCAGCATTAAAGAGAAATGAGCTATCAAGCCATGAAAAGACATGGAGGAATCTGAAATGCATGTTACGAAACGAAAGAAGCCAATCTGAAAAGGCTACATACTGTATGAGCCCAACTATACTACCATGGAGACAGTAAAAAGACCAGTGCTTGCCCTGGCCAGTGTGGCTCAGTGGATAGACCGTCGGCCTTCGCACCAACGGGTTTCGGGTTCGATCCTGGTCAAGGGCATATACCTGGATTGCAAGTTTGATCTCGCATTCAGGAGGTAACCAATGGATGTGTCTCTCTCACATCTATGTTTCTCTCTCTCCCTTCCTCTCTCCCATTCTATCTAAAAATCAATGAAAAAAATATCTTCAGGTGAGGATTAACAACAACAACAAAAAGATTAATGGTTGACAGGGGCTCAGGGGAGAGAAAGAGAAGGAAGGATGAAGCACAGGGGATATTTAGGGTGGTGAAACTATTCTGCATGATACTGCAATGGTGGATGCATGACATTATGCACTTGACATAGAATGTACAACACCAAGAATGAGCCCTAACATAGACTGCGGAGACTGGTTAACAACAATTGAGCAATACTGATTCATCAATATCAAACCAATATTCTACTGCAAGACTTTAATAATAGAGAAAACTGTTTTAATTTGCATCTCTCTGATGATTAGTGATGTTGAGCATTTCTTCATATGTCTCTTAGCCATTTGTATGTCCTGTTTGGAGAGGTGTCTATTTAGTTCCTCTGCCCATTTTTTAATTGGATTGTTTATCTTCCTTTTGTTGAGCTGTATGAGCACTCTCTATATATTGGAAATTAACCCCTTATCTGATCTTTCATTGGCAATTATGCTCTCCCATACAGTGGGTTGCCTTTCCATTTTGGTGGTTGTTTCTTTTGCTGTGCAGAAGCTTTTGAGTTTGATGTAGTCCCATGTGTTCATTTTCTCCTTTGTTTCTGTTGCCTTAGGTGATGTATCAGTGAAAATTCTGCTGCGTATGATGTCTGAAATTTTGTTGCCTACATTTTCTTCTAGGATTTTTATGGATTCATGAGTCACATTTAAGTCTTTTATCTATTTTGAGTTCATTTTTGTGTATGGTGTAAGTTGATGGTCTAGTTTCATTTTTTTGAAGCCTAAAACACCAATCAGAAAGAATATATGTACCCCCATGTTCATAGCAGCACTATTTACAATAGCTAAGATCTGGAAACAGTCCAAGTGTCCATTAGTAGACGAATGAATAAAAAAGCTGTGGTACATATACACAATGGAGTACTATGCAGCTGTAAGAAAGAAAGGTCTCTTATCCTTTGAGATGACATGGAGGGACCTGGAAAGTATTATCCTAAGCGAAACAAGCCAAACAGAGAAAGACAAGTATCATATGATCTCACTTATTCGTGGAATATAATGAACATAACAGTCTGAAGAACAGAGTAGTCCCAGAGACGCGGAAGTGGGGTTCAGACTGACAATTCCCAGAAGAGGGGGTGGGGGAGAGATAAACCACAGAACTTATATGCATGTGTGCATGCACAATGGACATGGACAACAAAGCTGAGGACAGGGCGGGGATGGAGGGGGAGGAGGGTGTAAATAGGGGAAAAAGGAGAAACATCTGTAACAAAAATAAATTAATTAATTAGTTTAAATAAATAAATAAAATAATAGAGAAAACTGGGGTGGGGTGGGAGGCAATATGGTAACTGCATACCATCTGCCCAATTTTTTTGTAAACCTAAAATGCTCTAAAAAATAAAATCTACTCAATATATATACTGTTGGCTAATTGCGTGAATATTGGACCATCCGCACGGACATACCCAGTTAGGAGGGAACCGGGGAGATTTACCCAGGCCTGACATTTTTCAAAATACAGTGAAACATGGTGGGAAGTAAATTAAAGGCTCACCCTGAAGCCGAAGAAGAAAAATTAAAAGATGACTAAGCATTTATTTGTGAATTGAAATTTACACAGAAAGTTGCTAGACTTGCCCCTAGGTGTTTGTGTTTCTTTACATTTTCCCCTAGTGTATCATATTTTGTAGTAAAATCACAAGTAATTTTTACAGAGAATCACAGTGTCTTTCATTGTGTCTAATGTCCCCTCTCCAGGCCTTCTCCAGCCTTGACCTCTGAAGGGAAGGAACAGGTTACATATCACACAGGTGTATTTGGAGAACTAAGAAAGTTAAAAACAAAATGCCTTGTCCGGCCAGTGTGGCTCCTCAGTGGCTGAGCGTGGACCCACGCACCAAGAGGTCACCAGTTTGATTCCCGGTCAGGGCACATGCCCAGGTTGTGGGCTCGGTCCCCACTGGGGGGCATGCAGGAGGCGGCCAATCCATGTTCTCTCTCATCGAAGTTTGTATCTCTCTCTCTCACTAAAATCAATAAAGGAAAAACATTTAAAAAACAAAAACAAAAAACCAAAATGCCCATCCTGGCCGGTTGCTCAGTGGTTAGAGCGTCAGTCCATGCGTGGAAGGGTCGAGGGTTCGATTCCCGGTCAAAGGCATGTACAGAGTCAATCCCCTGCCCCAGCTGGGGCGCATGCTGGAAGCAACTGATTGATGTGTCTCTGAAAAATCAATGCAGCCCTGGCCGGTTTGGCTCAGTGGTTAGAGCGTCGGCCTGCGGTCCGGAGAGACCCGGGTTCGGTTCCCGCTAAGGGCACGTACTTCGGTTGCAGTTTGTCCCAGGCCCTGGTTGGTTGTGCGGGTGGCAGCCACTCGATGTGTCCCTTCACGTCGATGTTTCTCTCTCTCTCCCTCCCACTCTATCTGTACAAAAAAATGGAAAATATCCTCGGGTGAGGATAAAAAAAAAAAAAAATCAATGCAAAAAAATATTCTTAGGTGAGGATTAACAAAAAAACAAACCAAAAAAAGCCAAATGCCCAACATTACAGCAGATGGTCTCTGGAAAGACAGTATTCAGGAAACTGTACTGCAGTCAGAAACACAACGGCTCTGATGTCAACAGGTATCTGTCAAGAAAGTGGCCCTGGCCAGTTTGGCTCAGCGGTTGAGCATCGGCCTGCGGACCAGAGAGTCCTGGGTTCGGTTCCCACTAGGGGCACGTACCACACACAAAAAAAAAAAAAAAGAAAAAAGTAAGTGCTCGACCGAAAGACAGTGGGCAGGACAGCCACTCCTGGTAGCCATTTTATTTTTATAATAGACCGAGGCAGGTCCACATTAGTGTGAACTTCCAGTGCCTTCCTTCCCCTCCAAACCTCCAATGCAATGACATAAATAGGTTTAACCATGTCTCGTCTCTCTCATGCATCCACCCTCCACTGTGTTAGGCTTAAAGTACCAGCAGCCAGCAGCACTATTATTTTGTGGTGTTCGGAGCTCCTGACCTCGGGGTGCAAAAGCGCAGAAAAGGGCAAATGAGCGCTTCCAGCCAATGGACTTGACACTCGGTGCTGAGTGGGACCTTCCTACTGTTCCTGGCTCCCGGGTGACTGTGCTTCTCGGCGTCACGCTGCACCACGGCCCCCTCTCTTATTTATCGTACTTTCCCCCAAGCCAGCTTCCGATCAGAGGCTAGAAGACAGGCCCCAGGAGGAAACTAATTACCTACGTGGGGGACAGAGAGGCCAAGGGGTGGCTGGCTAACAGTGTCCGCACGCTGCCAGTGTTATTATCACAGGCCATGGTGGCCAGCAGTGTCTGAGGTCAGGTTCCCAAGAAGCAGACCCCAGATATGACTGAAGGAGGGCCCTCAGGAGAAAAAAAGATGAGGATGGGAGGGAAACAGAGTAGGGCAGGGGAAGAAGCTAAGCAAAGATGGAGAGTTGGCCCAAGTCTAGCCTCGACCTGTTCCAGGGCAGGAGGTGCGGCATTATAGACTCATTCACCACTATCGACTTGACACAGGGGGGTCAGGTCTTTGTATCCCCCACACCATTCAATCATTTACTGCAGGTACCTCCGTGGGGGCGGGGGGGCATATAAGCCCCAAGCCATCAGCTCTGCGAGAGGCTGTTTCTGCGGGCAGGAGCAGCTCTCCAGGGAAGGCAGCTCAGCTGGAGGTGAGCACCGTGGTCAGTGCGGACAATGGCTGGGTCCCAGCAGCACCCACGAAGGGCTGCCCTCGGAAACAAACAGCAGGAAAAGACATAGATTAGACACAAGGAAAAGCCTCTCGAGGTGGCTAGATGCTCTGGTGCTCCTTCCGGTTGCCTGTCACTCGAGTGGATGGACAGGGAGTGGCTGAAGCTCAAGTGGAGCTTCCCAGGCAGACTTGTGTAAGACATTTGAGCAGTTGCCCTCAGAGAAGACCCAATCTGAGAACCAC